ATCACCAACATTTGTCTCCAGAACTCTCTCCCCTTGTCTAGATGAAACTCTGCTCTCATAAACACCGACTCGCCCCCCCACCCCCCACTCCCCACTCCATACCTCATGGAGATGGATCATACAGTGTGTGTCCTTCCGTGACTGGCTTATTTCACATAGCATACTGTCGTCAAAGTTCACCCATGTTGTAGCGTGTGTCAGAATTTCCTTCCTTTTTAAAAGTGCACGCCATTCCATTGTGAGTGTATGTTGCATTTTGTTCAACCCAAATCATCATGGACATTTGGGTTGCTTTCATGTTTTGGCTATTTTGAATAATGCTGCTATGGATGTGGGCTTACAAATTTTTGTGTGCTTTTTTTCTAATGATTACAAAAAGTTTAAAAATTTTTGAATTTTATAGTAATTGTCTATATTCCCACCCACCTACATTCTACCATTGATATCCTACTGTGTTGTTTTATCCATATCTACCCACCTCTGTTCGTCTGTCAGTCTTACATTTTGATACATTTTTGATCAGAGTATTTTAAAGACACTCCCTTCTAAATGCTTCAATATGGGATCATTAATTAGAAGCCAGTGTTAGTTTAGTTTCTCTGTGAAGATGACATGCACATTGAAATGCACACATCATAAGTGCACATCTGATTAATTTTGACAAACGCATGTACCTGTGTCATCAAAACTCCTGTGAAGACAGAGGCCCTTACCCATGACTGTCACCCCAGGAAGTTCGTCACACTCCTTCCTGGTGGTTCTCTCCCCTAATTCCACAAAGGTAACAATTGTGCGAATCATTCTTCTACCGTAGATTGGTTTGGCTTGTTCTTAAACTTCACATAAACGGAATTATTATATGTACTTTTTCGTATGAGGCTACTTTAATTTATTATAATGCTTCTGAGCTTCATCCGTAGTGCATAGGTCACTGTTTCCTTTGTACCCCTAAGCAGTGTTCCATCACGGGCACATGTTGTAACTTACCTGCTGTCTTATGATGGGCATCTGGGCTGATTCCACGGCAACTTGCTGTTGCCGTAACTACTTGTCCTTCACAGGATGAAGTCAGATCTCCCTAGCTTATCCCTTCACTCTTAAGCCACTAACATCATAGCTTACTAAATGTGTATGAAGGGATTTTAAAAAAATTCCCTGGTAACTCAGCAACACCATTTCTCTCTGCCTTAGACCGCAGCTAGTGGAAGAGATCAAGTAGTTGCTGATTTTAAATGTCTATCACCCATAATCATGTGTGATTTTCTTTGTAATGCTGCCAAATTGACTATCCCACAGGGAGCTCCTGGCTTCCCTGAGATCTTAAACCACCTTCCAACCCTACTCCTGTCTCAGGTTTTTGAAATGACATTGTCGGCTCACTGTTGAGAAGGAGGAGGAAGTAGGAGGCATTGTACAGTTTCTGGTGGTTGTGGGGGCAGTTCTCACTGTAGCAGCTGCTACGGCAGCCTCAGCAGCAGAGGGGAGAGGATGAAGGCCGGACAGAGGACACAGAGTCGTTACAGATTATTGGGAATAAGGCAGTCTCTACTACAGTAGTAAAGTGAAACAGTTTTTTGCAGAGAGAAATTCAAGGCGACCTGTTAGCAGTACTTCATTTGCTAATTAGACAGAATTGTACCATACCATCTTTGGTACAGTGACAAGGTGACACCTCTTAGAAATTAAACCTGCCACTTGTCCGTGTTTTTGTCCACTGTGTGTGCCATGCGCATGCTTTGTGTCCGTTCTCCAGACACCGTAAGAACACCAAGACTTGGTTTATAATGTAATCTCTTAATTTGCAATATCCCAGCGAAACTATAATTTTTTAAAAATTGCATGGCTTGAGGACAAGTAACTAAGGATATCAAAGAAGCATTTAAAATATTATGGCCCACTCTGTATTTTCCAGCAGGTATGAAAGTAATACCACTTAATAGGTTAGCCGCCACCCTGCACCTTCAGAGCACTTTAGAGCCATTCATCTGTCTGCGGTGGGACAGTATTGGTACCCTTGTTTGCTTAATAGATGAGAACTCTTTTTCTCCTCCCGTGTTTTCCTGTATTTGAATTCGAGAATTTCTGCAGAGCTCTCCAAACAGTGTCTGTGATCTTCTGGTAGCCTAACAAAGATTCCTTTGAACCATAATGGCTTCCCCCCATGTCCTAGATACTTCTGGGGTATGTTTTGCAGAAGGGTTGTTAAAACGAGACACAAAAAATTGTCAGCTTCTGTGGCAGCAGTAAAAAATAAATTTAAACATGAGATTATATCATTCATAGAAGTTAATTATATACAAAAATAGGTGAGATACTTCGTAAATTTGGATAAAGTCTTTAAGCGGTGACAGCTTTGATATGCACCTAATTCATGGCTTTTCTTGAGAAAAAGGAAAGAAACCACAGGTCTTTATATCAGTTCCTGATTTGGTCTTAAATGGCTGGGAGGATAGTATCTCTGCAAAGTATTGGCTATGTTATTTCTTGAACTGATCATCTTAAATGAGAGCATGTTTATGGGAACTTTATGATTGGAAGAAGTGAGGTGTCATCCCACATTCAGACACCTGGCTGTGCTGGCCTCTGCTCATGTATAAAGGACACAGGGACAAAACCAAAGGGGGGCAGGATCAACGGGGGAAGTGGGGATAACGGGGGGGGGGGAGGACAGATGGAGACAGCCGTACTTGAACAACAATTAAAAATTGGGGGAAAAAACATTTTGAAGACAAAAATTCCAAAGCCTGATTCATTTTTATTTTACCCGTGCTTACTTACAAGTATGTTTAATCCTGTTCTTGTTGTTGAGCTTCTTTAATACTGCATAAAAATATTAATCATTAGGCAGTCTTAATGTAGATACCTTCAGCACTTCTACGGAAAGTCATCGTCAGAGGATTCACTCTAATTCAAGGTTAATTAGTGTACCATTAAAATAATGTGTTACAAAAATTAATTACGTCGCAGGTCGAGCAGCGTGTTAGAAAGCGCAGCGTGGGTGTCCGAGGGCACCTCGTCCTCCCTAAAGCATTGCCGTGTGGGCGCCGCCCTTCTGGAAAACACGTCCAGACTGAGAGTCACCCCTGAGGTCCAGTCATAGGTGTTTCCCATAAAGTAAGTTTTTGGCACCACGTATGGGAAATTTAAAATATAACTCCCATTAGCAGTAAAATGTGTTGCTTGTCTGCTTTCCCATCGAAACAGCTGAGGATTTATAATTTAGTATTAATCGATGTAACCCTGTTGGGTTAATTCTAAGGAGAAATCAAGAACCTGGTGGAGCAGAAATTGTCCATACATCTTGTGGTAAAAGTACTAGATAAATTAATATTATGTTTTCTTCCTTAACTGTTAGGTAGTTCTGGTAGGTGCCCTGTGGAAGTATATCACACATCATTTTAACTATGTAGTAATTCTTGTTAATGGTTTAACTTTATAGTCATAAAATGTACACTTAAAGTTTGAACTCAAAATGATAGACTTTGAAGTTTTATTTGATTATTTGAATGTAAAAGCTGTGAAACAGTTACACTCAAGTATAGAAGATTTTATAAATTGGTTTGTTCTGAGAGTCTTATTAGAATATCTAATTAGGCATATGGAGAGTTTGAAATTGGTGCCCTGGAAACAGCGGTCATCACACTTACAGAAATTTTAACCCAGGAAATTCGGCAGCACCTGGTCTACTCAGCTTTTACGATTGTATCCATTTTAAAAAAATCCTCAGTGGGCTCCGACCAAAATAGTTTTGTTACTACAGCAGATTTTGAATGATTTGCTCATTTAAATTTTCTGTTTCCCTTCCTGTTTGGATTTTGTGTAAGCCTGTTGGAAAACATCTTCACAAATAAATAAAAATACTTTGAGCAAGTGAAAGAAAAGGACAATTAGTAGGGAAGAAGTTGTCTTTGTTTTTTTGTTTATTTTTTCAAGAGTAGGTCCTGGTCTAATTAGTGGAACTAACAGGTGCTTGAAAAGAGCCTGGAAGATAAAGAATGTAAGTGGGTTTAGAAAAGCTGTCTTGAAAAGTGCTTTTTTCTCTAAAACGATCTTTGTCCTGCTTTGTCCTACTTAAATCTTTTCAAAAATGACATGAAGCAGGGACTTCAACTTAACGTGGAAAAACATTCCAGCTCTTAAAAATAACAACATCACCACCACCTTCAAGAAGCAGTGATAAGCCGTACTTCACTCTTTTCTAAAGAGAAGCCCTTAGCTCCGGCGGTTTTGTTTGCCCGTTGGCCCAGGTGGGCTTCTTTCATGACCTGAACCCGGATTTCCTGATGGTACAGGATAGAATGAACACATCGGCAGTAACTCAGCTTCTTTGGTAGACAAGTTAACGTGATGTTTCATTTTTGATACTTTCTTTCCTAACCATTAATCATCTATTCTTTTTTACAAGTGGCTTTCATAGTCAGCATTTGAAGATGGACACCAAGCAGACTATACTGGTGTTTTTGAGATATTTAAAGGTGTAAATTTGGGATATTAAGGGAAAATGCTTACTTTCAAACTGATTAAATTTTCTTACATTTTAAGGAATAGACTTGAGTAAATTCAGATTTTCTCTACCCACATTTAAGTACTCAATTTTTCATCCATCAGATTTCTTTGGTGAACATGAAATTTAAGAAACTTGTCATTTACCTTCATAAAATAGTAGCTTGAACCGCACAAAGCACTGTCTTGCGGCTCATTCATTTACCAGACTTCGTCGGTGCTGTTGTACCGCCCGTTGGACTCCACTCTGGAGGGGAGGGGACTGGCCAGGCTGCCGTGTGGCTCTGGCCAGAAGGCAGCGGATCCACTCGTGGAGCTTGGGGTTTCCAGTCCATTCCAGAAAGTTCGCTGCTTTTCCCACAGAGCATTTTCTATCAGTCATCCTCAGAACAGTTAACCCAGTTTTACATATTACTTTGTCTTTCTTAAAACATCGTGTCTTGCATATGCCCCCTGACCTGTAATAACAAATGTATTTCTCTCTGTGTGTGTTTTAGGGCAGAGCTCTGCTCCACTGGGCCTGTGATCGGGGACACAAGGAACTAGTTACAGTCTTGCTACAACACAGAGCTGATATTAACTCTCAGGTAAGAGTGATGAAGAGGGAGCTTGTTTGAAAAATTAAGGTCAAATCCACAGGACATAAAACTCACCACTAACTATCGTCAAGTGTACAAGTCTGTGGCATCAGTGCATCTCATGGTGTGGTACAGCCATCACTACTGTCCCACAACATTTTCATCCCCGCAAAGGACACCTTGTGCCCACTGAGCTGTCACTACGTGTCTCCCTTCGCTGTCCTCCCGGGCAGTGGCTCTTGTTCTGAGCCATTGCTGTGCTTTTCCGTTCGTGTACTTCTGCTGCGCTTTTTTAAGCATTATACCTTCAAACTACGTTGTATTATCTTTTAGGGTAGATTCCTTCCCTACCTGATTGGAATTATTCCTGTTACTTTTGCTTGTTTACTTTTCTGTGTGAACTCTGAAATCATCTTTCAAACCTGTTTCCCCCAACCTCCACCACCATCTCTAAGTTAAAAAATAAGGAAACAAATTACTCATGCCCGTGCATCTTTTATTTTGTTGGGATTGCTGGGCAGTATTTTAAAATTATTTTTGTTTTTAAATTACAGTTGACATTCAATATTATTTTATATTTGTTTCAGGCATATAGTATAGTGTTTAGACAATTATATAATTTATGAAGTGATTATGTAATTTGTAAAGTAGTACCACATATAGTGCTATAATATTGCAATAATACAGACTGTTATATAATATTGCAATATTATGGACTATTTCCCTTATGGCGTATTTTATGTTCCACGACTGTTTTGTAACTGCCAATTTGTATTTCTTAATCCCTTCACCTTTTTACCCATCGTCCCCACCTCCCTTGCATTGGCTCACTGTCTATGAACTATTTTGTTTCATAGTTCATGAACTATGAACTGTCTGTGTTTCTGTTTATTTGTTTGTTTTGTTCTGTAGATTCTACTTATAAGTGAAATTATACGGTATTTGTCTTCCTCTGACTTATTTCACCTAGCACAGTACCCTCTAGGTCCATCCATATTGTCGCAAATGGTAAGACCTTATTCTTTTTTATGACCGAGTCATGTTTGTTCAATCATTTGTTGATGGGCACTAGGTTTCTTCCATGTTTTAGCTATTGTAAATAACACTATAATGAGCATAGGGGCACATATATCCTTTTGACTTAGTGTTTTGGTTTTCTTCAGAGTATTTTGGAAGGAAATGTCCCCAAGTTAGGCATAGCCTGCGGTTTTTGCCTGCGGGTTTCCTGTATTCTATTCGTTGGGTAATATAAGGCAGACAGTCCAAAAACTGCCTTATGTGGCAACATAGGACACTCTTTATTGAATATCAGCTTTAATGCGAAGTGAAAGTTCGCGTGGGTTTTCGGGGTGGATCAGTTAGGACTGTATTTCTGGCCGGTGTTCTCCTTGTCCTCTTTATGGTCACATGACCACTCTATGCTGACCCACCCTTGATTTCCCTTTGAGTGGCAGTCCTCACTCGCATGATCCAGTTTCATTTGGGGACTCCAACTCTGTCAGTTCGGGTTGCTAACATGCTTTCGAGTCAGAGGGCTTTTGGAAATTAGCTCTCAGAATAGCCTTCCCCTTGTAATCTCTTCTCTGGTTTTATTATTGAAAACTCTTTTAAAATATAGACAATACAAACATAATAAATGCAAGTAAAGGTACATCTCTCTCATGACTCAGTCTTTCTTAAACAAAATTATCATTGACTGGCCTATTGGTTGCCAAAAAAGAAAATCAATTTTATTAGAAGTACTTGCATGGCCACAGATCTCGGTTACTAGCCCAGCTGAGACAGGCTGATGTTATCAAGTATCTGAAGACTAATTTTTACCATTAGCCTGCAACTGAGCAGTAATTAGAGATACACGTGTTCTCCTGTCATTTTTACCCTTCACTGTATCTTCCATACTTTTATTGGCCTGCAGTTTTTCTACATTCTGTGACTCTGATGGAATTGGAACTTTTAATTTTATTTCTCAGAAAGATCCTTTATAGATTTCATTTGTTATCTGGCAGTGTTACGGACGCAGTTTTGTCTTTTCCCCTGCCTGGTATTGATTTTTAGTTCAACTCTGAAAGCTAGGCTCTTAACCGCATTTCAGATTAGGGTATGGGTTAAATACACACACATACACCCCGCAGACCCCGTGAGTAACTTTGATCTTTCAAGCCCTGGAGAAAGGCTGAAGCTATTCCCAAAGCACATTAAAAAGTATTTGAATGCTGAAGATTTATTGCTAGGTTTTCTCGGGTTTATTGTAAAGTAGCATTAAGGAAATAGGGTAGAGGGAAAGGTAGAAGAAGCATTGGTCGTGTTAGGTGTCTGCACTGTGCCCTGGGTATCACGAAATTCATATACCATTTTTAAGTAGTAAAAGACAACAGAATGGGGATCATGGCAATCCTAGATTTTACCTGGCTGTTGAGGGGATTCAAATGAAGACCACAGGCCCCCACCCCAAGGCTGCCCTGCTGCTCCTGGAGTCAGGGGTCTCTAGTGACTCCTGGGCAGGAGACTCAAATGGCTGCCTGTAGGGTAGCTTCCCAGTTCTGTAGATCAGAACTGAGTTCTTCATCATCCGAAAAGAACAGAACAAATCACGAGTAAGGTGTACAGCAATGAACAAAGCCGTCTGTAATTCTGTTACAAGGGGGCGGGGAGAGATGTAAAGCAGCACTTTAGTGTTTACAACGCACCGAGCGTTTACGGGTATTGTTTTAGCCATCACATCTGTTTGAGCTGGGTGTGTTATTTTCTGTGTTCTACTGATGGAGAAGCCGGGGCTTTGAGAAGTCGTAGAGGTACTGAGTGATGAAATCGAGATTGGAACCTGCCGTTCGGACTGCAGAGCCCACGCTCTCAGCCTTTCCTCTGTGCAGCCTGAGTACGTTTCCTTCCCATCTCTACTTTCGCTGCTCACACATCTGTGACATTTGAAAGATATTTGGTGCACTGCGGTACCTAGAGTAGTTTCCTTCATTATTTAAAATAATGGAGATACAAAACACATTCACTGAGGCACATTTAGTACAAAAATCTTAAGGATACAACTTAATGCATTTTATGTACATGTATTTTTTTATTTTATTTGCCACAGCTTTAACCAAAGTAACATGTATGGGCATCATTGTATATATGCAACTACCGTCCATACAGTTAGAATATTTCCAGAACCCCCAGAAGGTCTTTCCTAACCTGCCCTCTGTCAAGGACCCGTTTGTGGTTTTCGACCAGACCGGTGTCCCTCTTCCATCCCCGCCTGCTGTCGTGTGTGTGAGTTCCCGTTGCTCCACACCCGCGTCGGCTCTGTCGTTTGCCTTGGGTGACAGCTGTGCCCGTGCAGCTCACGGCATCTCGTGGTGGTTTTGATGGCCATTCCCCTCGTGGCTAGTGCCACTGAGCATCCTTTATGTGCTTGTTGGCCATTTTTGCATGTTCTTTGGGGAACGTCTGTTCAGACCCCGAGCCCATTTTGTTGTTGTTACTGAGTGGAGAAAACCCACGGGAAGCAAAGTTCTTTGACAGCAAAATCTGCTGTGGGGAGCATGGACTCAGGGCCAGCCCCTTTGATCACCAAATCACCAAATCATCATTGGTGATTTGTGTCACCATCCTCACACCTGTCTGAAGTCTTTCCAGCAGCAGAACCAGCTTCGGAAGGACCAGCAGTACTGACCTCAAAGGGACAACATTTCACGATAGACACCTGACCAGTGTGCGTGCAGGGAGGAGGTTGGGGGTTTGACTGGGTGATGGTCTTAGTAGTGGGACAAACGAGATGACCGCCTGAATCAGAGCCTCTTGGCATTTTTCTTTTCATCTCTCTCTTCTGGCACCGCCCTGGTGGGGGAAAGGAAGCGCTGCCTGCTGCTGTCGGGCAGGAGGTAAAGCGGCAATGCCAGTGAACGGTGCCAAGTTCCACACACACACACAGTGACCCTGGGTCAACCATTTAAAAACCTGTGCAGGGACATTCAATAACAAACAGTATAGATAAATTAACACTGTGCATGGTTGACTTCACCAGTGAGCTCGTGTGACCCAGGAAAGCTTTAAATTACATACTCAGTTTCTTCAACAGATGCAAGGCTGTTCACATTTTTTTAATGTTTTTCTTTTGTCAGTTTTAATAAGTCGAGTTTTTCAAAGATTTGTCCACTTCATCTTAAGTTGTAAAATATTGACCTACAGTTATTCCTGATACTATCTTGGTATTTTTTAGTCTCTTAGGGTGTGTGGTGATATCTTGTTTTTTAGTCTCTGATGTTGTTAATTTATTTTTTACTGATTGTTCTTGCTAAGGGTTTGTCAACTGTATTAATCTTTTCAAAGGGATGGGCTTTTAGTTTGTTGATTGTCTCCATGGCACTTTGGTGTCTGTCATGATTTCTGCTCTGTATTATTTCCCTCTGCTTTCTTTGGATTTAATTTGCTGTTCTTTTTCTGGCTTCTTGAGATGGAAGCTTAGATCATTGATTTTCAACTATTCTTTCCTAACAGGTGTACTCAGAGGTATAAATTTCTCTTTATGCACTACTTTAAATGCATTTAGCAGATTTTGATCTATTATCCTCTAGTCAAAATACATTTATAATTTTTACTGTGATTTTTTTTCTTTGAATCCTGGGTTACCCAGATGTGTGTTGTCTAATTGCCAGCAGTTTTCTTTCCATTTTCACCTTTAGTTTGGCTCTATTATGATAGAAGAACCTGCTCTGGAGGTTTCAGTATTTTCAGGTTAGCCCTGCTCTGAGGCCCGGTGCAGTCGTACCCGGGACTCGGCCAGTGTTCTCCTTCCGTATCTGTAACTCCCTTTTCCGATGACAGTGAGCAGCCTGCTCCCGGTGTCTCGTCCTGCTGACGGACTTGATCGGTCTCCCCGCGGGTGCCCGTCCCTCCTGCTGCCACCCCCCCTCCCCTGCACGGGCGCCCTCCTCATACCGAGCTCCGACAGTCCGCCCCGACCACCTTCCGGAGGGTGCCCTCCCGGCTCTTCCTGCTCTCTGCCTCCTCGAGTC